TACACTGATGATATCGCCTCGTTTTGAATGGAATGAATTGTAGTTGAACAAAAAAGTGCTACTGTTGATCACCACCTAGCTGATGTAATGTGATAAAAAAAGTTGTGCTTGAACACCAACAACTTTTAACAATATAATCGCAACTGTTGCTTTTTTCTTTTGAATATGCCGATAATTCAAAATTCATTTCATTCCTATTAATTCCTCATCTGAAAATTGGTTTGAATTGTTTAGACATTGCGCGATTGGTTTGTGGATCGCTGTATGCGATCGAGAAATTGTTCGTCATTGTTGCGGTTGCTTAATGGATTGGTATTCGGCTGTATTTAATTGTGCAAATTATTTATGGCAACGGACACTGGTTATTGCGTGGTTGTTGAATGTTTGATACGCCGATTGCTGTGGATCTGCTCGGTTACATGAATTGTTTATTATTATACCGAGAGATCACTGATTTACTACTGTTGGTTATTTCAAACAGCTACTTTGAACGAATGTTCAATCGATCAATCGGAATGTATTTTCGGGCTCCTTTTGAGTCCCTCTCCCTAGAAATCATTGGGCAATATGGGAGAGTAGCCCAAACCTCTATGCTTGCTAAATCAATAATCCAAGTTAGAATTTCATGAAGGCAGATGATAGCAACGCTATTATCGTTAGCTGCGAGGAAAGGAGAATACCGGAGAAAGAAGAATGTGATATTGGTGATAGCAAAGAGGCATAAACTTGTAATGAGTTGGATTTGCTGATTAAATAAATAAACAAAATTATTATTATCACCAACGTTATTATTGAAACAACGAACAGGTTTTACACAACTTTCTTGGATTGCATGCCCGTCATAAAATTATCAAATTGAATGAAATTTTCTTCAAAGGCTATCAATGCCCATACCTGATTCTGTTGATGAAACAGGTTTATCATGCACACCAGTCTAACTGTAATTCTAGAAGTTAAATTTGTTACTATTATTACTATTACAATAATAATAAATAGTATTATTATTAACTATAAGAAAGTGCAATAATAGTTGGAAACAGAAGCAACGTCCTATGAATGGTAAGATGGGAATAACGACAGCAATGAGAACAATAATAGATAGCAGTAATAAACGATAATGAAAATAACCGTAGTGCATACGTACTCGACTCAACTATCTTGATAAGTTGACTATTGAAATGTCAAGGACTTTCACACCCTTTAAGGCGTTCTAACGTTGACGAACGTTCTCCTTCAATGAATTATTTATTCACATCCATTTAATAATTACGATAGCAATATTTTTCATTTCTAAAATATACTTTTCCTCCCTAAACTAGTGTGATGCGGGGATAGGGGAATTTTGGAGACTCCGTCCCCGAATTCCCTACAATTTTTGATCCGACCGCATTTTCGGGGTCCCAGACTGTAAAATTCCGCTCCGTGCCCGACTTTTTTCCGTCCTCGCACCACATTACTCCAAACGACTACAACAGACACGGCATATATTATGCGTAAAAGACTACAAAATGCTTTGAAAGATTTCACTGCATATTTTCTTCAATAATGATTTTCGAAACAATAACAATACCAAACAAAACAGCAAATATAATGCAAAGACAAGTAAAACAGCACCTGCACAAGAACAACAACGAGAGACTACTTTAAAATGCACCTTATCACAATAAATACTCATTATACATCACTGAATTCTCCTTTCCAATTTATTATAATAAATTTCATGGACTAAATGTGATGAAATTTATCATTGGTACGAAATAAGATCTGACAAATTATACATTGAGGACCATACGCAAAACAAACACAGAAATTAAATTACAGACTGCTTAATGAATATAATTTAACTCACTAACGCTGTCATTAAACAAGGCAAGAAACGCATCCACTTTAGCGTTCAGTAGTGAAGTTTTCATTCAAGATCTACATCCAATCAAACAATACTAATAATAATAATAACAATAGCAATAATAACGCCAGTACCCTTCGAATGAGAACAGTCAATAAATGTTGAGCACTTTAATCTACTGGGTTTGCTTACGCTTATAATCGACTGAGTAAGATAAAAAATTATAACTGATTCAAAAGCATTGAATTGAAAGAAGTACGTTTAAAATGAAACTCATTTATTAACACAGTCCTCATATAAAGGCAATCAAAGCCGTTAGCATCAATGCGTTATTGATAATGAATAAGCAAAACAAATGAAATCATGGAGAATGCATCTATGAAAGATCTGTTCACAGCTCGGATGATATACAAAATGCAGAACGTACAAAATAACAATGACAAAACGCAGAATTAAGCTCATCATTTACCGATTCCCAGTTGATTTTCACCGATTTTCAGGTCTATTTTTAGCAGCTCCACCACCATTTAAATTCGGTATGAAACCAAGACCTAACTTTGCCAACGCCATATTCTTACGCAAATAAACCACATCCCAATATGAATCATGGATGCCACTCTTCACAATACCTTGATTCACATAGCGCATATATGTAAAAAAATCACACACTGACGCAATCTGAAAATAGATATTATTCGAAAATTGCAACAACAATAATATTACTTAGACATAATAATCATGATACTAGCAATAAAATAGAAAGTACTCGATTTCTGGCAAGCATCGAAACGAAACACCAATCTGACGCGGCGTGCACACGCAATCGATATGGACAAAAACGAGGTACGTTTGATAGAGCGCATATCCTGAAAATCAATCCAACTAGAAATTGCAAACAGGAAAAATTTACAAACTGAAAAATTTAGACTGAGAAAAATGGATGTATCGATTTAGAAAGTATAAACATTACCTTACAGTTGGTTTTGCTTCTTTTACAGGCTCCAATTCTAACTGGTTCGTTCGAATGGCTGACAAAACTTGCGAGGATAACTAAAAATTGCTCATAAATCAATTACGGCAAACACTTCACGTGGAACAAATTTCATCTATGTTCTGACAACAACAACTAAATGAAAACTATTGTTGTAAATGCTGAACGTTAAGAAAAGTGCATTTTTCTCAATTAAAAATTCGTTGATAAAGTTTTCATCGAAAAACGATCAAACAAAAACCGAAGCAAATAACATCCATCTTCACTCTCAGATGACTATTTTCAACCCATTAATACCGGCTACCTAAGAGCTATTAAATGCAATCCATTAAGTCACTCAACAAACAAAATAAATTCCTTCTAAACACAAAATTACGAGTGAAAGTGTTGTGAACGATCATGCTCAAATGTAATGCATCTGTCGATTCTTTTCATATGTTGACTGCTGATGTCGTTGCGTCAGAATGGGTTTAACTAATATAAGGCTGATTTCAGTATGCGCTTCCATATGAACATCAAACAAACAATCCGTAGAATCAAAATTTACTTGGGTGTTATCAAAATTCATGCACGGAGCAACTTCTTCGAGCATCACACGACTCAAAAATGCGCATCCCTCATCATCAAGTGGTGCTCCATTCTCATGCCATTTCGTGAATTCACGATGATACACAGGGTCCACCTCAAAACAGTTTATTATTATAATAAAAAGGAGACATTTTCTGTCTCACCTCGAAACTTGTTTCGGGTTTATGATCGACAATTTGCTGCTGTGTTGTTGCAATTACCATTTCTCGAGTTACGGCTGGCAAACTGGAACTTTTCCTTTGCGCTGGTCCCATCGACTGAGATTTTTCTTTGCGATGCACTTAAAGATATGAATATTGTCATTATTTTTATTATTATTATGATTAGCCTTCCCACTTCATGATGTTCACTTATGATCCTGAAGCAATCTTCATATTCATCGGATCATTGCCAAATTCTAAATGGTAAGGAAAGGGGTTTTTTTCAATATTTCAAATCGTTTTTTCCAGAAGTTATATATGTTTCAAAATGTAACACCCTTATGAAGATTATTTGGAAACAGCCATATCAGATATTTTTATTCTCGCTTGACTGCAACAGTGTCGTACAGTTTCCCAATTACACATCAATAATAACAACAACAACAAATAATACAACTAAACTTGAAAATTTTTTCCCACATGATCTACTACTTAACCTATTGCAATTCAAAACAAAACTGAATAAAGTCAACAATAAGCTAATAAAAACCGTTGAGTAATCGTGATGCGAGACCGATTTTGTGCGGCTGATGTTGTTGCTGCTGTTGACTTGGTGATTTAACGATGATCTTCAATGCAGCTACTTCGGCACTCAACATATCCACTTTTAGGCGACTCTCAGCCAATAGTTTCTCAGCTTTTGCTCGTCGACTTTCTGCTTCATTCACCATTTTATACGCTTCCTGTAAACACACCATTGAACTAATTATTGCAATGCAGTTTAGTCTGCAAACATCACGATTGTTGCTAAAGATTTGCGTAATCTGAGCTATGCAATTTGCAATAACCAAATTGTGAACAAAACAACATTAATGAAATTAATAGTGATAACAACACTGAACCTGAAAAAGCTTTTCAGTGAGTTCTTGCACATCCGAATCGATATGGTCTTGAATCGCACTTAAGCGGCTGCATTTGGCATCTTTTTCTGCTATTGAATGTTGTGCAGCGTTTAGTTCACGTTCCAACTCGACAATTCGCTCGAGGCAATCTCGGCTTGATGGATCCAGATCTAGGTCAGGATCGTTGCTTGACCAATTGGTGCCGATAGTTGTTAATGTTGTCAAACAGTTGTTATCACTAGTTACCGGCGTTATACCATCATTCGTCGAGACACTTTCTCTTCTAAAATAAGTGAATAAAGGCTTGAAAATCTTTTCGATGGAATAAGAGAAAAATAGCATAAATTCAAATCAAATAAAATGAATGAATGATTATTTACGATTAGATGAATGGAAACAAAAAAGTTCAGATTTCCCTTAATTTCCAAGAAGAAAACATCTCGAAAGTGTTCGACGTCATACGTAAACAAACTTAAAGAAACCAGAAATTATTCACCTCAAAAAAGTTTCAATAAAAAACGTTTGGAATGAAAAAGAGGACAGTCAAAAGTTAAAATATTGAGATAAGACAAACGCACTGATGGAACAGTGAAGAAGAAGATGCAGCGCGTGTAGTAGTTACAGTAGCAGCAGTAGTATCAGACTGCGGTGTGGACGATGAGGATGTTGATAATGAAGAATTGAAATTTTTTGATTGCATTTTATTGTTGCTACACGTGGTGGTCGTACTGCTGACGTCAAGTCGACAATACTAGCACATTCTAGTGGTAAGTGTCTAGTTTTCGATTTGTTGTTATGGTGTTGCGATTGAGTGTTTCTTGTTCGGAAAATCTGAAATTAGATCAATTACTGCCATTGAGCAAGTGTCGAATCATCCACCAAACTTAACAAAGAAAGCGATGAGGACTGTTGAATTTTCGAATACTATTCATCATGTATTTTTCACCTTGTCTTCTTGATGACTTTGCTGATTTCGTTTTCAATTATCAATGCCAACTCTTGAGCACATGGACGACAAACGTCCAACGACAATAACACACACGGTGACGAAATCAAGATGAAGCAAAATACACTGAAAAGGAACTTCATTTAACGGTATTTTATTTTATTGTTGTTACTGCTGCGGTGACTATTATCATTATTATCATAATAATATTTAAACAAACGAATATTTTTTGAAAATTTTGCAGGACAATTTTAACATCAAAACGACCTGAACTCAAAATTCACATCAGAAAAAAAACATGAAGACTGAAGCAGCCGCAAAAAGGATACAAATTTCAGTGCGTGCGAATATTCTGAATGTAAATATTGATGATGACAGATATTACGAAATGAGTACGTACTGAATAATGAATGAGTTAAGGGTCAAATAAGTAAAGTAATTAATCAACAAAAACAACGTTCACTTCTTTTTAGCCATCCGCCACCATCAGCACATCGGTAAAGCAATCCAGCATTGATAACTGAGTTTTAAACCTTGTTTCCAGAAGAAATGAATCTCTCCACCTTTCTTTCGTGAAATCACGTTGACGATGATAATAATTACTTAAACAAAGTCGACCGGGTAATCCGCAGCATAGGTCAAGGAAAAAGGAGGTGTGACCTAACACACACACAACACGCCTCAGCCGTTGCACGCATGAAGACATTCTGCCACAGCTACCTCCAACTGCTTTTTGGAACAATGAGAAGTATTTCAACTGAAATTAACTCACTTTAAGTAAATAAGCAGCTAATTGTGATCCATGCAACGAGGAATAAACCAATGATAAACACTAGACAACAACTAAGTAGAGTTTGGGTTCATATTACGGATATAATCAATTTACCTGAGGTGGAAAATAGAATACAATCAAGAATTGCAAATGTGTACTCGAAGCTGAAGAGTATAGACCTAGTGTGCACTAGAAGTCACGTGCATGCTAATAACAACTGAAACGAATCCGTGCTGGATAGCAATACAGACACAATGTATTGTAATGAGCCACTCAACTACGTGAGATGGCTTTAGAACATCGTTGATATAAATATATTACACCAATGTGTTCTCAATATCACGGAATTTCGCAGTAGGCTTCTCAATGTACTGCGTCAAAAAGTAGTCATTTAACGCCAAGGGTAGTACTGCTGTTGGTTGCATTAACTGTGAGCGTGGCTAGTTACCGTAATCATTTAACCCCAAGGGTAGTACTGCTGTTGGTTGCATTAACTGTGGGTGTGGCTACCTACCGTAGTCATTCAACCCCGGAGGTACTGCTCCGATTGGTTGCATTGACTATAGACGCAGCTAGTTACCGTAGTCTGTTAGCTCCGGAGGCACTAATCCCGTTTGATGCATTAGCTGTGAGCGTAGCTAGTTACCGTAGCCATTTTACCCTGGACGTACTACTCCCGTTGCTTGCCTTAACTATGGACGTGGCTAAACATTCCTAGAACGCTTCTGAAACGTTGGTTCTCCGCATTTTAACGCTCCCATATCTCTGAAAATTCCAAAATAAGGTCTTTCAATAATTAGCAAGACGTATCCTCAAATTCAAACTGCCATGAAATCGCAAGGATCGACATTGCCTTTCACATCTTTTGCTTTCATCTTTCAATTGAACATGTTGTCTCGTTTTGAGCAGTGACTTCGACAATTCCCCCCAATGTTCTACTACCGATCGTTAATAGAACAGACCATGAAAAAACTTGAAAATTGAAGTCACTGCATGATATAGCAACAATTCGCTAATGCTGTCACTGATCATGCACCGACTGATGTAACGCAAAATGTATCGCAAACAACGTTCCAGATTTCTGAAGATTTATTTCGACAATAATCATCTCTTTAGTGATAATAACAATATACAGTTTAAATAATAATACAAAATAATGATTTCACAACAACGATGATACAATTAAAAATTCGCTTCAAAAAAGAAAACAAGAAAAGAGAGGATAACCAGTGCAAATGCAACATCAAACGGAAATGATACGATGAGCATGTGTGCAACCTAACATTCAATTCTATTCATTTCAACAGCAATAAGACAGCTATGTTATAAAAAATAGCTATATCACCTCAACTAAGCAAAATCACCCGACAAAATAGATAATTTTATGACACCAGAGATTCTGCTCGATCGATTACTGAGAAGAAATTGATATGTTACCGGTGAAAGCTGAGAGTACGGTAGGCTTGAATGTGGCAGCCAATATAGTATCAGAAAAATAGCTATATCCCCTCGTAGAGGTGGAATGTTTCAGCAAAATTTTCATTTTAGAAAGCAGAGATTCTGTTCAATCGAATGTTATAGAAACATCGATATGTTCCTTGGCAAACCTGAGAAGACGGTTGGCTTGAATATATCGAAACTGGATTTCTATAGTAATGTATAATATCTATTGATCTGTAATGATACAATGCATTTCAATCAGCATATTAAATAAGTTAATGATCGAACTGAATGGAAATTTTGTTGTTGAAGTTTTTCCTTCTAATGTAGATCGCACATTTATTCTTTATAATTTTTTATTACGCGTCCAAATTTTCTTTTTGGTTATTTTGTGTTGCTTTGTTACTTTTGTAACTGCATTGTATTGTACTGCTGGTTTTTGTAATTACTTATTGACATAGTGTGTAATTATTGTTGGTACGATTGTATGGAAAAGTGGAATTAACTAGGTGAGATAAGGCTTTTTTCCGTTTGAGACGGCGATTCGCCTAGGGAGGTGAAGATGTTGTCTTCGAATGGCAAGTCTGTTGGTTTCCTTTGTTCGTTTTGTTCAATTGCATGTTGGTTGTGTTCATTGCTTTAATCATATTGCTGTTGAAATGTAACATTTGTATCGGTTATCCTCTCATTTTGTGTTTTATGAAGCGATTTTTCAATTTTATCATTAATATTGTTAAATCAATATTGTGCACTATTATTGTAACGGTATATTGTTATTATGGCTAATGAAATGATTCTTATCAATATAAATCATCAGAAATCTTGAACGTTGTTGTGTTACATTTTCAGAAGAATATCAGTCGGCGTATAACCAGTGAGAGTGTTAGCGAAATGTGGTTATATCACACGACGACTTTAATTTAGCAATTTTCCATCCTCTGTTCCTGGTAACATTGGGGCAAAATATCGGAATCGAGGTGCAAAACGGGACAAAATATCCTACTGAAAATTGAAAGCGAAAGATTGCGAAAAGCAATTTCGATGCTCGCGATTCCATGGTAATTTGAATTAGAGGACACATCTTGCAGATAATTGGAAGGCTTGATTTTGTAATGATCGGTGAATTGAGAACCTTAAAATGTGAAGAACCAACATTTCAGAAGCGTTCTAGGAATGTTTCAAATAGTTGACCAGAGATCAAAGCTGTTCACACTGATACGTTCTCAATACAACGGAATTTCGCAATATGCTTCTGAATGCGCGACGTCAAAAACGTCAAGCGATGTTACATACTTACAATGC